CCCACCCCCACCCCACCCCCCGTTTTATCTTTTTCTCACTAGGACACTCCCAACCCCAGCCTGTGTTTTCGTCTGGATCCTCCTCACGGCTCTCACAGGTCCACAGAGTCACCTGTACACCTACAGGTACCACGGGAGGGGCAGGCTGAGCCCACTCCTATGCCCTCATTCACGAAATGAAGGGGTTGGGCTACAGGATCTCACTATGGCAGCACTATTGATGTCTGGAGTAGAATAATTTTGCACCATAGGACATCCTTGGTCCTGCCTGCCACCTGACAGCAGCTTTCCCCAGTCTTTGTGACAGCAATGGCAAAAACATGCCTACACTTTTCAAATGTTTACTGGGCACTATTGCCCCTGGCTGACAATCTTTTTAGACCCAAAGTCATGAAAGTCTGTTCGTAAGTGTTTGACTCTCAGCCAGGATTATTTTCCTTCCAGAGCCTTTGTGTGGACTCCACAATGTGAGGCCCTCATGGGGTAGGGTAATAGAGGTAGGAAGCCTGAGCGGTTTCTGGACTGAGTGTGAGAATGACGCATACTTGTGTTTGAGCTCCAGCACTCATCCTCATCAGATGTGTGTCCCGATCACGTTTCCTAACCACTCCGAATGGCTGTGTCATCATCTCTATCATGGGAACTATAATGATGCCCCCCCAAGGGCTGTTTAGCCCTAGTGGGATGCCTTCCCCATGGGAGGTACTTAGGGAGTGTTGGTTATGAGCAGTGTGGTAGGGTCTCCTTTGGCTTTCCATCTACTGAACTTTTCCTTTACAACATTCATTGCGGAAGCGATTGCATTAATGATGTATGTGCTCATTTGTTTATTTACCCCACCCCCATTAGACTCTAAGGTTCTAAGAAAGCAGAGGAGACCTGGGGCTCCCTAGTTCTCCATTTCATGTCCAAGGCACGGCACACTGTAGGCACTCAATAAATATTTGTCAAGTTGAAGAAATGTAACCTCTGCCTTGTCTTTGTTGTCCCAGAGCCCACTGCCTTTAATAGCAAAATAAATACTGAAACCATTTTCCTCGGCCCATAGGAGAAACCAAAATGGAGATTTCACCTACCACAGAGGACTACGGCATGATCACAGAATATGACTATGGGGACACAACCCCATGCCAGAAGGAGACAGAGAGGGCCTTTGGGGCCCAGTTGCTGCCCCCTCTGTACTCTCTAGTATTTATCATTGGCCTGGTGGGCAATGTCCTTGTGGTCTTGGTCCTCATGCAATACAAAAGGCTCAGAAGCATGACCAGCATCTACCTCCTCAACCTGGCCATCTCTGACCTGCTCTTCCTCTTCACGCTGCCCTTCTGGATCAACTACAAGTTGAAGGATGACTGGGTTTTTGGTGATGGCATGTGTAAGCTTCTCTCTGGGTTTTATTACATAGGTTTGTACAGTGAGATCTTCTTCATCATCCTGCTGACCATCGACAGGTACCTGGCCATCGTCCATGCTGTGTCTGCCTTGCAGGCTCGGACTGTCACCTTTGGTATCATCACCAGCATCTTCACCTGGGTCCTGGCCATCTTGGCTTCTATCCCCGGCTGGTACTTTTCCAAGACCCAGCGGGAGATCAAGCATCACACCTGCAGCATTCATTTCCCTCCTGAAAGCCAAAGAAATTGGAAAATATTTCAGGCTCTAAAACTGAACCTCTTGGGGCTGGTTTTGCCTCTGTTAGTCATGATCTTCTGCTACACAGGCATCATCAAGATTCTGCTCAGACGACCAAATGAGAAGAAGTCCAAAGCCGTCCGTCTGATTTTCGTCATCATGCTCATCTTCTTCCTCTTTTGGACCCCCTACAATCTGACTATACTTGTTTCTGTCTTCCAAGACTCCCTGTTCACCAATCAGTGTCAGCAGAGCAAACACCTGGACGTGGCCATCCAGGTGACAGAGGTGATCGCCTACACACACTGCTGCGTCAACCCGGTGATCTACGCCTTCGTTGGGGAAAGGTTCCGCAAGTACCTGCGCCAGCTGTTCCATAGGCATGTGGCTGTGCACCTGGCTAAATGGCTCCCCTTCCTCTCCACGGACAGGTTGGAGAGGGCCAGCTCCATGTCTCCCTCCACAGGGGAGCATGAGCTCTCTGCTGGGTTCTGACTCAGACCACTTGTGGCCTATCTGGGACCCAGTAGGAATGACCTGCCAGGCAGGCCTGGAGAGGAAACAGCCTGGCTGTCTCAGCTGGATTCTCCTACCTGGCATTGCACAGAATCACAGCCACTCAGGGTTGAGAGGGAGCTTAAAGGTGGCTTAGACTAAATCACTTCTGGGGCTCAGTCTTTTCCATTAACTTCTCCCTAGTGGCAAAAAGATGAATGGGACAAGAGTGCCAGCAAAAGGCTTGGGCCTAAGCAGGATTTCAAGTTTGTGAGCATTAATGTTTGTCAACAAAGCCACTGCAGCTCCCATTCCCACCCCACCCTCACCATCCATGAACTCGGAAACAGTGAGCTCCTCCGTGAGTCTGCCCTGAGCCTGGGAGCCAGCCAGTAGCCAGCAGCTCCTCCCTCACTGTCCGCCCCCCAGCAGGGTTTAGGTTCTTGGGGAACCCTGGGGACCGCAGGACTTATGATGGAACAACTTGAGACCTAATGGGAATAGGAATGAGGAACTATCTTTGACAGTGGAATTGAGAATACCCTTCGAGAGAAATTTTTATATTCACTAAAATCAAATGATTCAGGCAGTAGGCTAAACTCAGACCATAGGAATAACATGTTGTGCTTCTTGAAATTGCCATAAAGGGAAGGAACTCATAATTTCCATTTATCACTTCTTTCCTTCTGAATTTTTCCAGTATCTCTCTCCCCTGCTAGTCAGGTAATGGGTAGATCAATTCTGTCAACTTTCTTGCAGAAATTGACAACAGGCAAAAGGAAATGGGCTTGAGTTTTTTTCTTTTGGCTTCATCCACGTCTTCTGGTTTTATGGATCAGAGAGTTCTGACTGCCACCTTGGATCTATTAGCAAAAAAATAATCCTCTGTGTGAATCAGCTGTGTTTGGAGCTGGGAGGGAGAAAAGTGGCCACCAGAAAGACACCTGACCTTGCAGGAGTCAGGGGCGGGGGGTACCCTCTGTCTTGAAGTGGGAGATGGAGAGGGCCCTTAACTCCATGTAGCTTAGTTATCCAAAATGTCTTTAAAAACCTCATCTCTAAACAAGAACCCCTATTTATGGCTTTGTTCCCTTTTCTTTCCCAAGACATGTATTTGTTTAAGAACAATTTCCTTGATAACAAAAATTACTTCTAAAAAACTCTTAAAACCACCGAGAAAAGACAAAGGAACAAAATCATCCGTAATCCCGCTATCCAGAGAGAACTGGCATGCCTGTTTTGATGTTTTCTTCCTGTTCATATTTATGATTATAACTAAGATGGACTTCAATTGTACTCACCATTGTGCTATTTTTAATTAAATGTATGTTGTGATCACTTTCCTATGTCAATAAATCATTTCAAAGTGTTTTTGGTGGCTTCACTGAAGCCTACGGCAGAGGTACCCCCCAACAACTCCCCCCCATTTCCTTATTATTGCTCACACAAACGAATTCAATCCAGCAATTGGGCTCTGTTCACAGCTAGCTCTTGAGCCCTGGGAGTCATCGATGTGTGAGGAATGTCTGTTCTTGGCGAGCACTTGGCTCAGGGAGGCAGATAGGCGAGGGAGGCCAGCTGGGCCCAGGTGGACGGGAGGTGCTGCTGCGGAGCTCACGGTGCTGGGGCAGCCAAGGGGAGGAAGGAATCCATCAATCAGAAAGCACTCTAGGCCAATAGGTGTCCCTCATTTTGACACCACTGGGCTGACCTCTCTCCCCTTTTTTGACACTACAGTTGTACTCATATCAAGCCACCCTCCTCTTCCAGGTAGGGACTGACTGCATTCAGAGGTCATCTTTGTGCAAAGAAGCTGGTACCATGATGGTCCAGAAAACTTTTATCTGGTGAGGAGGACATCACACTGCTTTGATCTTGCAACTCCATGCAGAAAATGTGGACAAATATAGTTGAGGGGGATGTCAGCTCTCTTTGCCATGCACAAAGGAGGACGAGGCTTAACTGAATTAAGAAATATTTGTCTATTGGTTCGGTTTTATTTTAATGAAACTATTTTAAAACAATATATATTGGCTTGGCGTCTATAGGCTCAAGCAGCTAAGGCGCCAACCACCTACATCAGAGCTGGGGGGTTCGAATCCAGTGCAGGCCTGCCAAACAACAATGACAACTACAACCAAAAAATAGCTGGGTATTGTGGCAGGCGCCTGTAGTCCCAGCTATTTGGGAGACTGAGGTAAGAGAATCATTTAAGCCCAGGAGTTGGAGGTTGCTGTGAGCTGTGATGCCACAGCACTCTACCCAGGATGACAGCTTGAGGCTCTGTCTCAAAAATAAATAAATAAATAAATACAATATATACTCTATAGTGACATAATGTGGAAGGTTTTACAAAATCTCTAGTTCCATTTTCAAAGTAATGAATGACCCTCTGCTCATTTCCTTATTTCTAATACAAAGAGGGGATGAGCCTAGTGTCTGTCTCATAGGTTTCTGAGAATTAAATGAAATACTTGTAAAGCAAGGGAAGCGGGACATTCTGCCCCTAACTATAGCCTGCAAGACATCTGCCCGTGCCTTCCTTGGTCGCCCAAGGCACTCTAGTTCCCTGACTGCCTCCCTGCCCTCCCTGCCATGCCCTGGTCCTACGTTTCTGGGGCTCAGCCCCAACCTTGTCATCATTGTTGTCCCCATTGATTTTTCCATTTCATCCTTATAGACACTTTGCCAGAAGAGCACAATGAGCTCCCTCCTCCTGCATCCAGACTCCCTGCTCGTCAGCATTTTACCACAGTTACCTTAAACTCAACCATTCTCTCTCTCCAGATAGATGGATGAAAGGATGAATGAATAGATAGATAGATTTAAAGATACTAAATTTTCTGTAGAACTGTTTGAGAGCAAGTTGCAAGTAAGATGCTTCACACGCTTTGGTCCTTTAGAATGTTTTTACTAGCAACAGGGATACCCTCCCACATAACCAAAGCAGGAGACTGACACCCACACAGCATCTCCACCTAATCTGTAGCCCTCTTTCCAATTTTCCCACTTTGCAAACTGTCCTTTACAGTCCCAAGGTGCAGAATCATTTGTTTGACTTAGCTGCTTGCCTCTCTAGTCCCCTTCAGTAAGGAATAGCTCCTCAAGCTTGTTGAGCTTTTTGTGACTTTGACACTTGTGAACACTACACTCGCCCAGCAGGTGCTTCCTGCATATGGATTTACTGATACTTCCTGATGATTAGACATGAGTTACGCAACCACGGTAGGAATCTCACGGAACTGGGGCCATGTTCTCAGTGCGTAATGTCAAAATGTACGTGATGCCAGCCTTCCTGATGACCACAGATGCTAAACTCCATCACTTGTTTAAGAGGCTACCAGGTCTCCCCACTGGAAGCCTTTTGTACTTGACTAACAAGTGACTATTATTAGTGGGCATCCTACTCCTCTTTTTATTCATTCATTCACCTATTTGTATCAGCGTGTGCTCATGGGTTCCTTTTCTATACAATGGTACATCGTCTAATCATTTTCTGTAAGGATGCACACTTTGTTCCAGATTTATCTAATGGGAGCTGGGTTCTCTCTACATTACTTTTTGAGCATTTCTTTCCTTTTTGGCACAAGAGAGTTCAGGTTCATCTTATATCTTCCCTGCCCCACAGAAGCAGGTGCATCTCCAAGCAGTCTGACTTCTTAAAGCTGAAATTAATATTTAGAGACCAAGATTTGGGTGCTAGGTGTGCTCATTGCTAGTGAATTATTGTTGCTTCTGGGTCTTTTCCATGAACAGAGGTAGAAAAAATATATACATATAAACACAGTCACACATACATGCGAGTGCCTATCTCTCTGTACCTATTTTCTATCTATCATCTATCACATCTAAGCTGTCAGTTCGTGCCAACACATCCAGTGCTAATCTAACATAACACTGTTCTTCCTGATCCGCCTTTTCATAGTTGAAACTGTCCTCTCCTATAACAAGAAAGCTGGTTCTTGTGGTCGTCAATGTAGTGTTTTTTACGTAAGCCCTCGGTGAGCAATTCTAACATGCAGCCTAGTGCCTTACTGCTGTCCATGGTGGCAGACTCTGAGCACCAGTCAGGTGCCCCTCGGACCTTTGTCCAGGCTCTGGCACGTGAAGCACTGCACACAATTTCTGCACCAGAGAGAGGGGAAACCCCTGTTTTCTTAAATTTTTATTTCTTTTTTTAAAAAAAATCCACGTAGCCCTGTCTCCCCATGATTTCCATAGAATAGGGTCAATTTAAATACTTTATTAATAATCTTTTCAAAGAAACAGCTTTTGTTTCCATTAATTCTTCTTTATTGATTCCATCTCTGGTCCTTCTTATCACTTTTGTATGCTTATTTTGGTTTCTTTTGGGTTTTTTTTTTTTTTTTTTTTGGTCTAGTTTATTCTTTAGTAAGTAGCTGTGGTCATTGATTTAAAGTTGTCTCCTTTTCTTCTTCTTCTTCTTATTTATTTATTTATTTTGCAGTTTTGGGCCAGGGCCGGGTTTGAACCCGCCACCTCTGGCATATGGGGCCAGCGCCCTACTCCCTGAGCTACAGGGGCAACCCCAGTTTTCTCCTTTTCTAACATCAATACCTAGAGTTATAAATTTTCCCCTAAAAACTGCTTATGCTGCACTCACCAAATTTTAATAGGTTATAGTTTCATTCCATCCAGTTAAAAATAATTTTTTAACTTCATTTTTGGCTTCTTTTGCTCACGGGTTATTTAAAAGTTTGTTGCCTTCCAAAGATTTGTGGATTTTCCAGATATATTTGATTTTGAATTCTAATGTAATTCTACTGTGACTTATATGATTTCAATAATTTTAAATGTATTGAGGCCCCTTTTATCACTCAGAAAATGACCTATGTTAGTAAATATTCTGTGTACCTATGGTCCATGAGCACTTGAAGAGAATATGTATCATGCACTGTAATGTTTAATAAATGTCAATTAAGTCAAGTTGTCATTCACACTCTTTGTGTCTTCTATTCCATACCGATTTTTTGCCTATTGTTCTATCAGCCAGATAGATAGGACAGTAAGTTGGCTTATTAAAAATCCAATTATGAAATGTTCTTCTTAGCAAAGTACCACAAGAATGGAAGAAGAAGTATCCAATGTACACAGCCCTATTCTGAAACTAATTTATAGTTCTCAAATGAAAGCTACAACCTAATTCTAGCCCAAGAATATGGGGAGGGGGTGGGGGAGGGGAAGGGAAGGGGTAGATGGGTGGAGGGAGGGTGATTGGAAAGATCACCTCTATGGTCTGTCTTGCAAGGGTATAAGTGAATCTTTCTAAAACTAGAGTATAAATGTCTTAACACAATAACTAAGTAAATGACATAAAGTCTATGTTAACCAGTTTGATGAAAATATTTCAAATTGTATATGAAAACACTACACTGTACCCCATGTTTGCATTAATGTACACGCTATCATTTAATAAAAAAAAAGAAAAAAAGAAAAATCTAATTATGATTATGGATTTGATTTATGCATCTTCCTTTATTTCTGTCAGTTTTCTCTTCCAAGCTCTATTATATGAAAGACATATAAAACCATTATGTCTTTCTCAGGAATTGACCCTTTCATCATTAAGAAATACAGCTCTTTGTCTCTGGTAATTTCTCCTGTGTAAAAGTTTGTAGAAGTTTACTTTTTAGTATATTAATAGCACTGTAACATTTTAATGCTTACTCTTAGCATGATATAGTCACAAATTGCTTAATAATGGGGATACATTCTGGGAAATACTTAATTAGGTGACTCATGTGTGAGGATCACAGAGCGTACTTACACCAACCTGGATGGCACAGCCTATATGCTCTTAGGCTAATGGTTTAGCTTGTTGCTCATCTGCTACAAACCTGTATAGCCTGTGACTATATTGAATCTATAGGCAATTGTAATGCAATGGTAAGTGTTCATGTAGCCAAATGCAACCAGACATTACAAAATACAGTAAAAATATAGTATAAAAGATTTTTTAAAAGGTACACCTATATAGAACACTTACCAGGAATGGAGCTTGCAGACTGGGAACTGCTCTGGATGAATCAGTGAGGGAGTAATGAGTGAGTGTGAAGTCCTGAGACTTAACTGTACATTAGTCTAGACTTTATAAACACTGTGCGCTGAGGCTACACTAAATTTACAAAAAAATGGTTTTCCTTCAATACTAAATTAACCTTAGTTTACTGTAACTTTAATACTGCATAAACTTTTTGATTTTTTTTTTTTGCAGTTTTTGTCCGGGGCTGGGTTTGAACTCACCTCTGGTATATGGGGCCAACGCTCTACTCCTTTGAGCCACAGGCGCTGCCCAACTTTTTGATTTT